CAGCCCCCAGGTGGCTTTCTTGCCTGTCAGTTTGCTGCAGACAGTATGATGAAGCAGGGAGGGAGATTGAAAAGCTCTGTATCATCAACAGATGTATGCGCTGGACACCCCACCCCCCCTTGCCTCAGAGTGCTAGCCGGGGGCTGGGGGCTGGCAATACTCCCACCCCTTGAGCAGCCAGTGGGGAAAAGCCTGGGACCTTGCAGGCAGACCTCCCTAATGAGAGAGTCCTGGCAGGGCCTGGCCATTTTCCCCCCTCAGCTCAGCTCCTTGCAAAAGGGAAGAGAGGGCTGCTCTAGCACCCCCCGGCTTCTAGCTTGAGCCACTGTAGGCATATGCCTGAATTTCCTCAGTCCAGAGAGAATGTCTGTCTGGTTTCAAACCAATTCAGCCTAGCCAGGTTAGACTAACCTGCAAATATTGAATCAATTCAGGCTCAGGTTTTTTTGAATGTCTGTCCCTAGCCTTAGAGACTAACTGGAGGCTTAAACTTTCATAGGCAGCAGCCTACTCTGTCCCATACTCCCTGCCTTCTACACCTTTCTCTGTGATGTTCCAAAACTATGAGGAAGAAGTTTGCTCTACTGATATCAACAAGAATAGTCACTTAGCAGCCCTCTCAAGTAGTGCATTTTTATTTTGTGTTAAAAACACCAGGTTAAAATGTGGATGTCTGAATAAATCACTTTTCTTAAATCAGCAGGGTGAGATGACTTGTGCACTTGCAGTAAACTTGGGCTTTGAAGGAGATGTATGCATTTGAAATGTGATCAGTTTTTTAAAAACTGATTAAAAGTTATTATGCTCATGTTTGAGGCTTTCTGACAACTTGTGGGGTTTTACACTTGTTACATATGTTAAAAAAAACAGTCTTTTGCTTGGACTTTGTGCAAAAGACCCACATAAACAGGAGATGCTGAGGTAGATGGACTCTTGTGCCCCTGCAGACATGCACTGAGGTTAAGAAGGCTCTGTCTGGCACAAGAATCTATCCGTGCGATTCAAGATATAACCGTGTAACCAGAAATAGTGAAAGAGACTACAGACAAAGCAATCTGAGAGAAGACTTTTTCTCAAAACTCTTTGTTACCATAATCTTAGGTGCCATTTCTGATAATGGGAAGTGAACAGACTGGATTTTTAAAGTTTACTGACTTTGGCACTTGTTGTTACCCCTGAGCCTGTTGGTCACTGTGTACGTAGCCGTTTACTTTGAAGGGGCTCCCTGTGGACATCTGGGGCCTCTTTCATTCAGCATCTTGCAAGATTAAGGCTTTTTTCTTCAGTCAGCCTAAGATCAGAGATGTGTACATCCACTAACAGTGAGAATAATTGATACACATTTTCTATCTTATTTTTCTGATTTATACAAATCTTGTATCATGTTAACAGTATTGCAACAGTTAGAATTTGCCTTAAAGCATGCTGCAGTATTTGTGATCTAACAGTTGTTTCATGGATCCTGCAGGCTACCTAGTCTTTATGTGCTCTCATTTGTGAAGAGGACTGCTTGATACATATTCCTATTTTTAACAAGTCCTGTGGATGTGTAGAAATGGATGAGTCTTTATCACAAGCTGAAATATTCCTTGCCACTTTACTGAAGGTTTTCTAAAGTTGTTAAAAACCTTGTAAACATTTTTACCATAGACAAGAGAATGGCTTCTGAATGTTATGATTTTATAACAGGCAGCTGAAACTATTTAAATACATGTTTTAAAAAGTGTTGTAGAGGGTAAATTTGAACTCCTATTTCCTATTAAACTTACTTATACCTTCTACTGTACTTTGTGTTGGTAAGAAGCAAAATATTATACTAGATTGACTGTTGGCTGTATACTAGTACAGGTCTGTTCTTTCCTACAAAATAGTTTGGAAACCGCAATTTCAACTCCTTACCTGGGGAAAACCATTTCTTGTCTTTCTTAACAAATTAGATAAAATTTGATGTAGTTTAGATAGAATTTTTCTCAGTTTTGAAGAATAGAAGTGTCACAACCCAGTGATTTTGGTGCCTCGGCACGATGGAATTTTCCCGCCACATGAGAGCCTCTTGCAAAGCAAAGGGTTTTCCGTTGCAACAGAAAACCCCGGTGCAAGAGAGTTCCCGCCATTCGAATGCAAATTTGTCCCCCGCTATTGGCCAGTTCTAAATTATTCCTACGTGGCGGCTAGTAATTGGCTTGCTAGCCGTTTAAAATTTTGTGCGACTTCTGCCCAAGTCGGAGAACTTCGAGCACGCTGCAGAGTGCTTCTGAAAGTGATCTGACTTGTGGCTGAGCTGATCGATAGACTGATCACCTATCGATTCTTCTCCCTGTCGCCGAGTGCAATCCCAGACGTACCCTTTCCCCGCCGGCTTAAATTGCGGACGGATTAACTGGCTTGGGCCCTGCCAGCTGGATCAACTCACATAGTTGTTCAGACGACCGGACCATCTGCGTCGCAACTACAAGCGGCGTAAGTAAACGTTTTTGCAACCATTAAACCTTGTCTGCCTCTCCATTTACCAGCCCGCCCAAACGAACGAGCAATTTCTAAATCACCTCGAGTCGGCTCTGGCCATCCAAGACAAGAAGGTGGCACTTCAAGGTGCTGTATTTGGGTTAGAATTTGTCTCTTAACGTGTTAACTACTGATGAACTAGTACTCTCAGCAGATTGCCAACTCTTAATTTTAAATATTATAGGTCCTCCTTTGCGGCTACAAAGCAAGTTGTGAAATGTAAGGTTAGTTTTGTCATGCCACATTATGAGAACTGTCTGAAGCATTGAAGCTAAAATCTAATGCTTTTTGGATTTCTACTGTAATGGTACATCCTTAACTGTCGTGTCAGATGTATTATTGCAAACAAGAAAATTATGAGCTTGTAGATTATGATATATTTGGTATAAGGTTGTACACAAAAAGAAAGAAAACACATTACTGAGATGAATCTTTCTCTTTCTTGCATTATTGTATAGCAACACCTCTAGCAGATTACAATAACAGAAAAAAATGTCCATCTTATGTGTGTGTTAAGATAATTTCATTGGAAAAAAATAGCCTTTTTTTTTAATGTGTTTGAAGCAACAGGAGTTTACTGGAACTTGGAAGACTGTGCTCAACTTTTTTTAGTAATACCTTTCTGTCTTCTGCCTGCATCCGCTTGGTCACCCTGGCTAAGGACAGACATTACACATAAACAGGTTTAAGAGATCAGAAACTGGTTTAAGCCTGTAACAGAACAGAGATTCAGTGCACATAAACCAGTTTGAAAATGGCTAAAATCGATTTGAGATGAACCTGGTTGAATATGGTATCTGACTTAACTGGTTTGGATCAAACTAGTTTATGCAATGTCTGTCCCAGACCCCTTGCTGGTTTAAGATAAACCAGACTCCTCCAGCATCCCAGCATGCTCTCTGGGCTGTGCTGGCCTGGGTGGGACTGTCTGCTCCACAGCAGAGCTGGCCCCTCCTCCCTGCGCCCTGGCTGTAGCTCTGACAGATCCTGAAGACATCTGTATGCCTTCTCCTCCACTCCCCCAAGCAGGAATTCTGCTGTCCCCTCTCCCTTACACAAACACACAACATTAGCTAGCAGACCACGTGCTGGCTATAGTCTGTGCTGTGCCAGACAGGACAAAGACAGAATCAACAGGTAGCTGGTAATGTCCCACTGTTGTTTTCTTATTGGGGTGATAATGAGTTAGGGGTGATAAACACTGTGTTATCAATTTCCTGCTGGGCTGGTCAGAAATGGGGCTGAACCCTTTCCTAATCAGAGCATCCTGCTGTGGCCTGGCCAAACCCCTCTCAGCTCAGCACTCTGGAAGGGAAGGGAGGACTACTGCAGTGTCCCCTGGCTTCTAACCTGAGCCACTGCAGGCATGTGCCTGCATTTCTTTCAGTCCAGAGGGGATGCCTCTATGCTTACAAACCGGTTTAGCCTAGCAGGTTAGACTAACCTGCAAAGATTGAATCAATTCAGGCTCAGGCTTTCTGAATGTCTGTCCCTAGCCTGACACTCTCTGAATTTCTCGACACTCCCTCTCTCAGCCTTTTTCAATCCTCCCCAGCGTGTCTTTCATACCTAACAGAATTGTGGGAGAGCCTTCTTCCCTCCCTGTTGCTTCACACATCTCTGACATTCATGTTGCTTGTGTTTCCTCTAAGAGACTCTAGCATACTCCCCCTTGCTTTGCTGTGTGTCATTCTGAAATCTCCTTTCACTCTGGTGTCCAGCAGTTATTCAGCGTTAGTTATCTATATCTAATTCTGTTATTTGTGGTGGTACTTAACATCTACTAACTTTTTAAATAAAAAAAATTTAGGACCTTAATGAGTGGTGATACAGTATCTAATCTTTGTAGAGATCCATAGAATAGAACCACTGGCTTCTCAAGATCAGGAAGGGGCTAAAAATGCAAAGAATCATTGCACATGTAGGTTGCATTTCAGTGATTGCTCAAGGCCAATTAATTTCCTATACTGTTTTTTAAGTATAGCAATGGGAGCTAGCTAGTATGGTCAGCTTGCTGAAGGTTTGAGCAGCAGAAGTAGAGCTTTCTTTGTTCATCTGCACTGTGTACTTTCTAGTAATGCTATTATACCCTGTCACAGATGTGACAAGAGATCCACATTGTTTCCTGCTAAGGTTTCTTTGTTGCCCTTGTTGTTCCCAGTAGGAAATCTAATGTACTGGATAAAACCCTCGTATGAGTGCATTTCTGTCACTGTGAACAGGATTTAATAAAATGGTTCTGACATCTTGTACACCTTGGGCACTTTTTAAAGTTTCTTTTTAAGGAAGATTTAGGAAAATTGTTCGGGAGAGGAAACGATCAAGATTGTGCAAAAATGTTAGTTGTTTAAATCATTATAAACGTACAAAAATATTTAAATGTAATGCCATTGCATTTTGTCAAAATAGTTTATATTGATTTATTTGCTGAAAATATAACCTGAAGACTTTATCCTACCATGTTAAACATCTATTTTGATCTTGATTGTTTTCAGAAGTTGCAAAACAACGTTGGCCTGGAGATGAATTGAAGGTGATGTAGTTTGCTTTTTATTAGGCATGAGATATAAAAAGCTTCTTATGCATGAATATATAGTGAGGAGGTGATTCTTGAAAATTGGTAACCTTGTATTTAATACAGCCTTTAAGTCCGGCTGTCCACCTGCATGACTCTGCATTTGTGTGTATAGACCCACAAGTCCACTACTTTCATTATGTTTCCCAAGTTCACCTTAGAGTTTTGCCTGTACTCAGAGTACAGCATGTGTACTGTTTGCCAAAATAAACATTTCTATAACCATATAAAAGTGTTTGGCTCTACTTAGACAGCTGTTGAGCCAAGGGCTAGAAAAGTAATGCTACTTGCATTTGAGGTCAGTGCCTTTAGACTAGGTAAACCAGACTGGCTCCTTATTTCACCTACAGATGTTTTAATATGCTTAACATTATCCAATACCCGCAACTGAGGTAGTCTAAATACCACAGCAGGGTCTGATTAGCTTTTTCAGATCACTGCTTTTATTTGGTGTTTGCAAAGAAGCTTAATCCAGTGCTGGAGATCAGGCTTCCTGCTGTGCTCTTGGGTAGCTTTTTCTCATTCTTTGTGTTCACAGTGGCAGAAATTAGTGAGAAGACTCCTCCAGCTTCTGAATTAAAAACTTCAAAATAGTAATGATAGTAGCTATTTTAGTGGTTGTATAATAGATTGCATGCAGGCATTGTATTTTGGTTTATTATTATTATTATTAGCTTTAGATCTGTAAATCTGAGCATCCAATAAATATGTTGGTCTTGTATTACAGTGTCACATGGATTCATGTATTATTCTGACACATTTAAAATTCCAGATAAAAGTAAAAAATTATTACAGTTAATGAGCTCTAACAATGCAGAGATTTGCATTCTCTGATGTTTTTAAATCACAGTAGATGTTCCCCAGTAGATTTCCTCTGAAAGAATAAGCAAACAGCTACCAATTCACGATCTTCAACATGCCTATTGAATGCCTCTGAAAGTCAGTTAATATTCAGTCCGAATGAAAATTGGTAAAATGCAGGGTTTTAGAAAATGATGTGCTCTATCTTAACTGAGCAAAAACAAAGTTAAAAAAACAAAGGCCAAAATGTATATGTCCAGATTTCTATGTTTCTTACGTAAGCTCAAAACTAAGCAGTCATGTTGCCAAATCTGATACATTTATTAAAAATTATGTTTTAGTCATTTTTCTTTTAATTTCAAAATAGTCTACCTCCACAAGGAAGATTTTTTTTTTAAATGGGCTCGGGTAGTGACTCAACTTCCAAAGTATTTGTTTAGCTATTTCTTCATCTGTATACACTGCCAGGAACTGGAAAGGTTTTTTTGGCTTCAGGATTTAATCTGTTGATTAAGAGGTTTTCCTCTTACGGGCAAATAGAGATGAGTCACTACTATAGTGGTGCTAGAATAGTTTGTTGTTTCTTTGTGTCAGCTTTTTAATAATTTAATGCCATTAGTTAGCAAAATCCAATATTCCACCATTGAAATTAATATTTTTAGTTTTAAAATGTATCTATTTATCTATTCTTTTTTATATTGGAACTGAAATACTTATGCTAAGTATTATGCTCAGTTGTGAGTAAGTACTAGTTCATTAGGTTTACTGGCACATAAAAGTAAAGTTTCAGGAAATTCAGAAAATGCTTTTGGATGTATTTCAGGGTATAATGTTAGCTTCTTTTCTATCTCATGATTTGTTTTATTAATGGGAAAAGGTACATAACTACTAATGTGATATTTCCATTTCTGTATTTTTATTTCTTCCACTATACCCTAAAGGTTCTTTGTATCAGACAAGGCTATATTCTTTAGAATTTTTATTTTATAGAAACAACTTTTACTACTTAAAAATAATTCTTTTCTTTGTTTCATGAATTAGAAACAAGGAGGAAAAGCTGAAGTCTGCCCAAGCCAGGTGTTTCTTGTTGGCAGCCTGCTCCCTAATGACTCTGGCTCTCATACAGCAGCTGCCTGCTAGTCTCCTTTGTATGGCCTATTGTTGTTGCACACCCCTCGTTAATACACATGCTGCCCAGGGCAGACCCTGAGAATGACATCAACTTGCTTATCTTAGAAACCTACAAACCTGACACAGGGTATGGAGGTTGCCTTGCATCTGCCTGGCCAACTAATTGTGAGCTTTCTGGCCTCTGATTGGCTGTTATTCCACTCAGTAATAGGTTAAGCAAAGACATTGCCATTCCATCTGTTCAACCATTCATTGTTCTGCTTGCTTGCCTGAAGTCTGCAGCTGAAATCGTGTTAAGGAGTTGCTTCTGGAACTGCAACAAGAAACCAATGTCTGTGTGTTTTCCAGTTAATGTAAGTATATGGACTCTCTTTGCAGGGATCGAGCAATTTCACTGTTCTGACATTTCAGTATGTCGGTTTCAGTTTTGAGCAACGTAAACAGCATACACACCAGCTGGAATTTCCAAACTTTGGAATCTCTTTTTAAAATTCCATTTGAAGATTAAGTTATGAAAAGCTGATCATTAATTTGATGTAGTCAAGTAAGGAACTTCTAAGAGCACCAATAGTGCTGAATTTTGGGAGGGTGAAAATGGGAGATGGAACACTTTAACAGAGCTAAATTTTTCTGTACATTTTTGGTGACTCCAGCTTTAAGTTCAAAGTTTTACCCCTTCTTGCAAATATACAATGCTTGACTTACTTTTCCTTTGGGTGAAAATATATATTTTATGCATGTTTGCCCAGTTTACGAAATTTCACCAAAATTTAGTAGGTTTCCTAAAATTAGGTAGAACATCACTGTGGTACAGTGGCTGGGTTTGGGATGGATTTAGAGTATGATGTAACATCAGTTCATTTGAGCTACTCTCACAAGCTTGTATGTTGTGGTCAAAGACTTTGTGCTTTGAGTGATGTTCTTACACTTGCAGAATTAACCAGCATATTCTGGTGAAGTTTTAAATCTATTCTGTTTTATGCTTTGGGTTCAGATATTAGGCTAAAGAACAAACAGTGTATGTTCCATGAGATAGTGTTCCAAGGCTCCTCTAAAGAAAAAAAAAAAACAAAGACCTTCATATATCAGTTGGGAGGGAAGGAGAGCACATAAAAGGGTTAAAAAGAGGTTTGCATTTCTACCACATGCCCTATTGTGTGAACATATGCATAAGTCTATTGAAAGTTTTCAGAAGATGGGCAGGCCACCAGTTGCTGGTCTCCTGCAGTTCCAGTAGACATCTGTTGCCCCAGAGCATTAACCAATCTGTTCAATGGGACATCCTTCCTTTGTTAGATAGAGTGATGCAGACAACAGCGCTCGCTGAAGTACAATGGTAATTAAATATACAGAAACTACAGCAGTAGGTATTTATTACATATTCATTATTTTATTTGCATTGTTATAATATCTTTGCCATTTGAGAACAAGTACACTGGTTTCTGTCTAAATAGCCTATACAGTTTTCAGGACAAATGACTGTGGTGTTTTAACAGTTTGAGGTACGAATAGTTACTGTTTGCTATTTTAAAAAACTAAGAATTTTTTTACATGAAAACAAAATGAATTAGTGATCTGTTGTAAGATTTACCTTACAAAACATTGAGGTTCTTTTAAGGACAAATGTAATTGCTTTTACAAACATTTTGCCACAAAATACACCTTCCCCACTTAATTTCTTTTGTGTTTTTTTTTCTTTTTTGTTCCATGTACTAAGTTTGCAGTAAGCTACAAGTAAAAATTTCAGTTGTAAGTGGAACATTGTCATTATATGTACTAAAAGACCAGATGATCTAATTGTTTCTGTCCCTTTTGAGAAATAGAAGGGTTTTATAAAAAATGAGTCAGTGAGATGCTTCTTTTTGGTGTTTAATGGAAAGTAGGTCTGTTACTGAAGTTGAAGAACTGTAGATGGAAAAAGCATGCAATTCTATAACGTAGTGGCATTTTGTTCCTCCACAGTGCTAAGTATAAATCCTTGACTGAACAAGTATGTCTCTTTGTTATTTGATTTACATAATTTTTAAACTCGCTATAAAAAAGGGAGCCAATTTAGAATATTAGGCCACATTTTCTTTTATAGGTTTCTTTTTTGCATTTTTAATATAATTTAATCTAAGTCCTTAAAAGTTTTCATGTGATGATTATAACTATGTGCACATTCAAATAAGATCCCATCTTATTATTGCAGTGATCATCGTTCATCTCTCTAGGTTAACCTGGATGACTTCTATATTATATTTACATTTTTATACCTACCAAAGCTATTACTTAACTGCATTGCAAGTATAACCAACAAGTACAGTAATCTTATTCTTAACAGGTTTATTTCTGCTACTCATTGTTCATCCAGTTATTATACATAAATTGGCAGTCAAAGTTCACAAGGGAGACTTTCATCTAGGTAACATGTCTAGGAAAATATTTCAAAGCTGTTGCTTGTTTTGTTGTAAATAATGTGTGGGTCTTTTCATGTTCAGTGTTCCTGCTTCTTCAGGGTTATTTTCCTGTTTTTGTGGCTTTTTGTTAGCAACAGGTATTTGATGGGGGGTGGGGAGAGTGAAAAAGTAACGTGGGCTAATTTGTTCAGGTAGAATGAGTCTCATTTCATTCTTTACTATCTTGCTCCAAGTAAAATAATCAGTTCCTGGAGCACTGAGCTGTAAGATCTGATTTTCAATCGGTGAATGTCACACAGAACATCGGGTTGAAAACTCGAGTCTTAACATTCTCAGGTTATACTACTGCAAATTCTTTGCTGCTTATCACAAATGGTGTGGGCAGAGATAGCAGACGTTGTAAAATTTGTAGATATGCAGAATTTGCATGTTGGGCACAGAATCGATGGCAGGAATCACATACTGCTTAAGCAAAAATTAAAAGTAAGATGTCAAAATATTTCAAATCCTTATGCTCTATGTCTGTAGTGAACATATTACTTCAGCAACTGGTTTACTATGATAGTTTGCTGCCAAAGCTTTGTAGTAGATTGAAAGCTGCTACTGATGCAACTTCTCCAAACAGTTTTTGGACAATGGCAGTGTTTCACAAATGAGGCAGTTATATTTTTTTGCAAGGTAGAGATTAAGGCAAGCATGTAAAACCCATAAACACAGAGCTCATTGGTTATGGATTTGTTTACACTATTACATGCGATATATTTGAGAGTATGAGCCCTCCAAACAAAGGTATTTGAATGTGCTTGATATGTCTAATCCTCAGTACATTTATAGCTCTGCCACTCATTTCTGTCAGAGGGGGAAAATATTATGTTTGTTTTTATAGTTACAATTAAAGACTTCTTAAAAATGTTAAAGAGAAATATTTAGGATATAACTTCAGAAAGAACCATATTAGTTTAGCTTGACTACTATGAAACATTTTTTTTAGTCTATACATATCAAGATGTGTTTCGCCTATTCAATTAAGGTCCAAATGAAAAATACCACTTTTAGTTAAGTGTGCTAACTGGTACTTCACTGTGCAAGGATTTGAGTAGTGACACATCTTCCTTAGTGTATTCTGCTGCAGCAGTGTATCATCCAGCCCAACTTTTCAGTCCAGCTTAAAAATGTTGCCGATTTAAATATACTTCCTCCAGTCAGAGCAGATTGTGGGGTTTATGGAACAATGATGTCGGAGCTTCCAGATTGGTTTGGCAGCTGCATTGTTCTCAGAGGGTAAACCAGACGCACTTAAGTCCCAGTCTTTTTCATGGGCTTTTGTTCATACCAAATTATTCTTTCACTGTGCTAGCATTCATGATGGCATGTTAAAGGAGTGCATCCTAGCAACTAAAGACTGGTTGCTAGGCAGCCTCACTTCCAATAGGTTTTTCTTGTTTAAGGTACTTTTTGGTGGCAGTTCTATGAAGGCCCACTGTGTGGGTTTTTAACTGTATCCTTTTATTGGGATATTGTTGTGATTTGTTACTGGCACTATGCTATCAAGTATATTACAGTAGTTAATAAATCACCATGTGTAAAGATTCACTTCCTAAATTCCCCTTGTATTTAATCTGCAGTATTGCCTGAACTCATAAACCTCCATTTAAAGAGGACCTAGCATTGACTACTGATATTCTATGAGAGAGTATCACTCTCACTCGCTTTTAACTAAATCAAGCCAATGTAGAAATCAAAGTAGAATATATTCTTTCTATTGGTTCAAACTGCATTAAACTAGTCAGAAAAAATTGCTGCTTGGTATCAAACCAAAAATGGCAAGTTATTTGGTAGAACAATTTAGTTAATACAGCTATTCACTGAAAAGCTCTGCTGCCGTGGAGATGTCTTAGCACTTAATGCATTTAAAACCCATTTTTATCTAGTCATGGATGGCTTACTCACTTCATTCCCATTTGTCTTGAGAAAAGCCTGCATCAATTTCCATACATACATTCAGTTCTTTTTTTTTCCCCTTAACAAATGGAATATATACTGTGCAAATTATGATATTCTTAACAATTATATACCTACTAATTTAATAGGAGAGTTTTGTTTACTCTCATGGAAAAGACTTTGTATGTCAGGTATGGATTGTTTCTAATAGGATACAGAATTGTGTTTAGGATATAGTATGGAATTGTTTAAACAGTGATTTTTCGTAGGGTGACTGGCCAAATTTAGTCACACTTTATAGGACAAATTCAAGTTCTCCCATTTACATGTGTATATCACTTAATTTTTTTCCCTGTTAGAACACAAAGTACTGTTTCTTGTTTTCAGCTCATTCTCCCCTAGTATAAGGTTTTGTTGTGTTTAAAGCTCCAGCTGGACAAGGTTGTCCTCTTTAACAAGAAGAGTAAAGTATCTTTCATTTTTAGTAAGAGAAGCAATTCTACCCTCTGCCTGAATTCTCATTTAAGAGAGCAAAACAAAGTAAATGAAGTACTAATTTCCCTTTAAATATACATTATGGAAGTATCTGAAAAAATCTGGGAAACTGCTTCAGTAAACCTAATACAACAGATTTTCTGAGGCGCAGAAACTACAGCTTGCTTTGTTCTGTTTTTCCCACCCTCCTCCCATCTCCATCTTTAGCTGCTGATTCAGCAAAATGTCTGCAGCCATGACAAAATTTTAGCAAAAATGTAGTCTCATTGTTGAAGTCAATATTTAAGTGTTTTTCTAGATGGGGTTCTTGAGGGCTGAAGTGTACCCCATTGACATCAGAGGAAACCTGTTTCATTGGATTTTGGAATTGCACATTGAGCCAAGTACTATACTCATTATTAAAGCAAAGCTCCCTAGAGACCATACAGAGGCTTTTCTGATTTGGTCAATGCTTTATAACACAATTTAGAAATATGTTGGGGATGTTTACCCACTTGAATTAATTTGCTGTTTCGGAGCTGGCTGGTTGTTTGGTTGTTCCATCATCAGCTTACTTTCTGTATGATGCGACTTAAGCATATTTGCCTAGTTAGGCCAATAAGGTAGTAATATACTAGTTAACCTTTTAGTAAATGGAAGGTCTGAGCTATTTAGTCTAAAAAGCTTTTCTACAGTAGTACTCTTATTGTATAGCTGTATTTATTGTTTATGCCATTGTTCAGTAATGTTTTCTGAACATGTCAGATTATCACATTTAATTTAAATCTAGACAGAAGGGTCCCTTCTTTTGAAGTTATAGTAAACAATTTTCTAGTGTTTTTGTTTCCCCTTCCTCTGTACTCGTATTTTTGCACAACTTATAACTTACATTAAAAAATCTGAATTTTTTTCTTGTATTATTCATTAATTTAGAAATAGAAATGTTTTATGAAAACTGCAGGAAAATGCTTAGTTTCTAAATAAAATGGAGTTACCTTTATTGGACACTTCTGTTGGATTTGAAGTGTTGTTACACTTTGCAGATTTCCTAGGAACTATTTTTAAAAACACATCCAAAATTAGGATATTTTTGAGGTGGCAGAAAACAAAATCCCAAGGTAATAGTAAGACAATCACTCCACAGTAAGAGGTAACTGGTGCCAACATTTTTATTTTTTCTGTAGGAATACGGGACACTTTATATTCAGGAGTACAGGAAAAACAGCAAAGTGGAGTCGAGTACATGCAGCAGCTTCATGGGCTTGAAGGATCACCTGGGGCATGACCTAGGCCATCTCTATGTGGCGAACACTGACACACAAATAAATGCAATTGTACCTTGGTCAATGGTGGAGAAACCAACAATGGATAAAGTAAACTCCAGAAAGGAAGATGCAGACAAGGAGGCATCGAAAGAGACTGGAAGTTCCAGTTGTGATTCAGAAGAGAGCACAAATTCTGATAATGAATCAGAAAGACTGAATAATACTGCATCAGAATCACGCTTGTTGCCGAAGACTCACCGACAGCTGTGCAGATCTCCCTGCTTAGAGCCTCATATATTAAAGCGTAATGAAATCCTGCAAGACTTTAAGCTTGAGGAGGCACATATAGTATCTAAGGAAGTAAAGAAGCCCCCTGATGTGATGAAAGAATATCAAACCAAACTGGAGTTTGCACTTAAATTAGGTTACTCTGAAGAACAGGTTCAACTTGTTCTAAGTAAACTTGGTACTGATGCTTTAATCAATGATATTTTGGGAGAACTTGTCAAACTTGGAAATAAAACTGAAACTGATCAGACCGTAAGTAATGTTAACACTAGTGTAATGCGTGAAGCATCTTCCATAGAGTCTCAGAGGTCTGAGTCCCCACTTCAGGAGGATGTGACAGAGGATGGTGACAACCTGAGGCCAATAGTAATTGATGGCAGCAACGTGGCAATGAGGTATGTGGCAACGAAGCATTTGTTTTACGTATATGAAAATGGAACTGTTGCAAGCAACTAGAGCACTGATATGCTATTTCATTACTTATCAAAAACTGTACATTATTTATTGTTTGCATAGTCATCGTATGGTTATTTCTCACCCATATGTATGGAAACCCAGATGGCGTATTGAGTGCTCAGATTGAGTCTGTCAGTCGGAGTACAGTGATTTACACTATCATAGTAACTGCAACCACATGTTAATTATGCAAGTCCCTCTGCTTCTGCTATTAGATCTCTCCACTTAGTTTACTTTTTTCCAAATTTACAATTAATATATTAAACAATAAGGTGGCTAACTTTACAGATGATGTAAAATTACTTGCATCACTTAAGATTAAACAAAGCAGCGATGGATCTAACAAATCTAGGTTAAGGGACAATATTACAACTAAGAACAAAGAAACAGCTAATAAAATTTGAAAGACAAAAAATGTAAAATGCAAAAGAAAATCCTTTTTTATTTTTAATGCCCTGCTTAATTAATCTTGGCACTCATACTGCCAGATGTCACTGAGGCCAAACATTGAGAATTTCTATGGATATTTTTTACATCCAGTTACAAAAATAATAATATACTGTTATAAATTTAAAAGAGATGGGATGTAGATCTTCTTGCCTCAGAGTACTAACTAAAAACTAATTGAAGAAATTTTTTTTTCCTGTTGGGTAGGTTATTCCACAGTGATCTACTCTGCCTCCAAAGTGTTGGGTAATGGCCACTGTTATAGACAAGGTATTGGACTAGATAATATGGCAATTCCTGAGACTACTTGTGGCAGGGCACTGTTTGTGCCTGCCCCACTTCAAGGCCCTGAAGACAGCAGCCAGCAGGTGCCTGATGAGAGCACCCATTTTGGATTCAGGGTTGCCCATATAAACAGGGTATTTTGCTGCTGGAAGGCAGGCAACAACATCGCCTGGCTGCAGGGCTGTTGGTATCAACTGGAGGTAAGGGAGGAGCTGCAGGGGATGGTCAGGAGGCTCCTGGTCCTGGGCATGACCTAAAACTGCACCGTGCTGGGAGTGGGTGGCCTTGTGGGGCTCTCAGTGGCGTGGAAGTTACTACTTTCCGGGGTAGTAACTGACCAGGAAATGCCAAGTCAGTTACTACCCCGGTGAAAGATGGGTCAGGGTGCCTTAACCCCAGCTCCCACAACCGGGTGGGTTACCCCCTTGTAGGGTCTGGAAGGTGGACCCCAGCGAGAGAGTGGGGCCATAGAGTCAAACCTGTCTTGACATCCCCCAACTGGTCCATGCTGGGGCCAGGACGGGAAGGGTCGAAGGGCCAGGGGCCCACCACGAGGAATGCCCAGAGCCGAGGGCCTGGGGTTCCGACTGGCCTGGAGGTGAGCCAGGGCCAGTAGAACCAAAGGTCCCAGGGGGACCACACCCATAAGGGGGAAGCAGTTCAGGGAGCTATGCAGCCTGGAATGAAGGTGGAATAGGCTGCGTGAATGGAGGGATCCAGGCAGAGTTCAAAAAGCAGGATTCTGGGGCCCAGTGTGGGGCTGGTGATATTGATAACATCTGGATGCCATCTGCGAGGCTTGGGCTGTGGTGTAGGGGAGGAATGGAGCTGCGGATAGTGGCCCCTGGCATCGGGGCAAGAAATGAGCAGCCTCCTGCTTAATTAACATCAAGGCGTGGCGGACGGTTAGCTCAGAAACAGGTGGACGGGACACAGGGAAATCGGCCCCTTGAAGTCCCTCTGTTACACTACTCTATCTCCAGAATTTCATTAATCCAGTGAGAGAGACATGTATACATACACTGAGTACTCATCCTCACTTATCTTACACTTATGGAAATTACTGTTGGTGGGACAGATGGGTGTCTAAGCCTGTTTTACTAGGCAAGGAGGAGTTAGGAAAAGATGTACTTAAGAAACTGAAGTGAGGGATGTCAGAGAGTTTAGGTGGCCATTCTTTCAGTGGGCACGTGGATGAAGGACTGGTGAGTAACTAATTGGACAGAGCACAAGGATTGTCCTAGCCCAGGGGCAGGCAATTATTTCAGGCAGAGGGCTGCTTACCTAGTTTTGGCAAGCTGTTGAGAGCTGCATGGGTAGCCCCGCCCCTTGACAGGTGCCCCAACCTCTAGTCACCATCTTGGGACCAATGTCCCAGGGCCAGCATCGGTGGGGCCCAGAGCGGGGCACAGGCTGGCAGGGGTCTGGCCCGGCTCCATGGAGCCCCTGCCAGCTGGGACCCTGTAGTCCTGCTGCCCTGTTCTGGGCCCTGCTGGCGCTGGCCCTGGCACACTAGTGCAGGCCCCAAGCTCCTGCGCCCACTCACTCCCAGTGCCCCCCAAGTGTAGTACCGGCGGGGGGCACTACACAGCACTGACCCCCTGCTCACCAGCAGGGAAGGAACTGGTGCAGAGCATGGGGAAAAGTGGCTCCTCACCTGCCCCGTGGCCCACGCTCCCTGTACAGCCATTCACAGCCCACGTAGGGCTGTCCTGAACAGGCACAGGCAGCCCCACATAGGCTGTGAGCAGCTGCCGTGCAGGGCACCAGCCACGGGATGGGCGAGAGGCCGCTTTTCCCCCACACTCAGCACCAGCTTGTAACCCACACCTGCTGCCAGCCTGGATCCCACACCAGCTCCAGGCTCGCCTGTTGGGGCTGTGCTGCAGCAGCTGCGGCCCCCCTGCTTGCTACGCTGGGCAGTGTTTGCTGCTGCTGCCTGCCCGGAGCTCACATGCTGGGCAGCACAGGGGCGGAAGTGGCAGCACAGGGGGCGGGGCCAGGCAGGCTCTGCTGTTGCAGGATCCTGCTGAGGATTCCCCTGGGTCCTACTGCTCCTGGTTCCTGTCATTTTTGATAGGAACCAAGGACAGATAAATTTTAATTTTCAAATTTTTCTTAGGGGCCCCTCAGGCCAGATAGAATGGCCTCACAGGTTGAATCCGGCCTGCGGGCTGTATTTTGCCCACCCCTGTCCTAGCCAATCATACTGCTTTTGGAAAAAACTGAGCCATTTCAGTGTTTTGGTAAGTTGAGAAGGTTCCTTATTAGCTTGGTAATAACACTTGGTAGAAGAAACTTCAGGCCTGAAAGCATCTAAGATTATTTACTTAATGAATTCAATTTTCTGGGAAACAGATTGAAATTAAATATACGTACAGAGCTTTCTCATATTTATAGCAATTAGATATTTTGAGTAGATTTAAATTACTGTAATTGGCTTATGGATGCAGGACTCTGTCTTCTTTCTAAACTGAGTGTTGCCTAAATTATGTATCTGTTTAAGTTTTTTCCTCAAGGACTTTCCACCTCGTATGCTTTTCCCTGTCTCCCCTTACCTAGCTGAAATTAAGTGAGCATACCTTTTAAAACTGGTTATATTCAAATTAACACAAGTAAGATCTATTCTACTATTCTAATTAGAAATGATCCAAAGGCTTCTAAAATGCATTCCAATTTTGTTTAAAACTTCATTACATACTTGTACACTGTTTCAAGTGGTTTGTTTTAATTAAAACAATCTTCCAAACCAGAAGATATTGTTATAGTTTTGTTGCTTTTATTGTTTCTTAATACTTTTAACTATTGGAACCAAATCCTCCACTGCTCTGTGGCACCTTTTCTGCCACACTGGCAATGTAGATCTGGTCTCTGACTAACTTAGTTACTTGACTTGTACCTCTGTGTATGTGTTCTATTCTGGAGCTGCTGCATGTAGATCTTGTTTGGGTGTCTGCAGCATTTCTCACAACCAAGCCATGAAGGTGATACACTGTGAGGCTCTGCATAGAGTTCAAGGAAGAAAAATTGGAGGCTGGGCAGGAGGTGGACTCTAGGGTTCTGCAGGGTGCTGGAGGTAGGTTGTGGGATTTTAAAAAATTACAAACCACTTTTATCCCTGCTCTTGGGGCCTGGCTGGGATAGAGAAAGCATTGGCTATCCATAGCCTTGACTGTAAGTAGCCTCAGATTCTTTAAGCTTGAATGGCCCCTAGGTGGCATTAACACCTAGCATACAGTTCAGGCTTTTCTAATCTGCACGTGGAGATTAACCAGCACAAATTAGATGAGGAAGAGGGGAATAAAACAAGATGTATTTACCCATACACTGCATTGGGCACTTGCAGAAGCAGCTCAGGACCTGGTATCTTTCTTTCATATACACTTGGCTCTTTATGTGATCAGTTAAGATATCTGTGCCGTCATTTTATTTCTTAACCAGTCCTGGAAGTGAGTCACATACCAATGTAGAGCTTAATGTGATGTAAAACATTATCAGTAAAGCGCTGCAGCAAAGAATCAGGTTTTACATGGAGGGGCTGGGGGGTGGGTTTTGATAACATGGAATATGCCTGTAATAGCAGTAGGGTTATATTCCTTCTTTTACAGCCAGAGGCATTTTGGAAGCTCATGCAGAAAGGCCTGGCTATACTGCAGGGAGACATTCTGGATAAGATTTGCCAGTTCCTTTTATCTATTTTTTTGTACACTAGGAGTACCTAGGATCTGTGGATTGTCAATTGGCCATTCAGCCATACTTGCAGTCCTGATTAATTTAATTGGCTAATGCCACGGGTCCATAGTATCCCATGCCCATTTTTGCTGTAGTCCCAGGAAAACAAATTGTGCCTGTTCTTTGTGGGAGACGGAAAGATATGAGTGAGATATTGGAAGGTGCAGTTTCCCTACCTTTTTGTCCTTATAGGAGATCATAATGTGGTCTTTATGCTTTTTTCTGTGTTGCTGTGTCCACGGGCAAGAAATATTTACTTGATAATATTTAATAGTATTTAATTATTGCATTGAATACATCCCAAATAGGAATTACTAATAGGCTTCCTAGAGAAGTTGTGAAATCTCCATCATAGGAGGTGTTCAAGAAGAGGCTGGACAAGCACTAGTCAGGGATGATCTAGGTGTAGCTATACTTATGCTCTTCTGTGGGCAATTCCCGTGTTTCTGAGTTTTGCCGCTTGCTGCATGGGACC